CAAGATTTTCCTCTGGTCACAACACTGATGCAACTTGTCTCAAGTGTCTGAAACCACTGTTTGGAAAACAGCATAAATAAATAAGTTTATATATAAATCAGGTACAGGTTGGCAATTCCTCCAAACTCTATGAATCATTCTTGTTTAAAAAAAAAAAAAAATGAGGGAAACTTTAAAGCAGTTTGCATGAGTCATGCTATTTTGTGTGAGCATGTGATTAAAGTCAAAGAACGCCTGTCATAGCAATTACACTGCTTAATTAATCCAAAGCAAGCCAAGAGGCGAGATCTAATTGGTTAAAACAAGGCCCAGTGTGAAACTATCCAAAGTTATTACCGTCATGATGTGTGCCCTTAAACTCACGTGCCCCTTACTGGTCACGTGAAAAACGTCAGGCTTCATTCGACATCATGAGCTCATATGCTGTCATGTCTTAATACATACATATATATATTCCAAAAACACAATGTATCACAATGTGATATCTGTATCTGACAATGTGATCTGAAGTACACTATACTAGCCAGAAGGATACATTATGTTAACTTCAATCCCTATTGAAAAAAAATTGCACAAACACTATCAGCCTTAATGTTTTTGTAACTTAAATTGTTGCATATATGATTCATAATGCTTTGCTGCAATAACCCTTATACCCCCACTGTGGAGTACACATAATACATCTTCCCAGTGTTGACATTTGCATTAGATGCGGCTGAATTTTGAGAAGGCTCACTGTGGCATTGGTTTATCTCATGTTAGCCCAGAGTGTGGGGGATTGAGGGGCTGTTTGTTGTTGCATGTAGACCTCATCTTTCAGCAGGCCTGGCCCTTTATACTTCCTTAATGTGTCTAAACCAATCTGGGATGTGAGTGAATGTTCTGCATGCTTGTGACATCATGGAGTTTCCACTGCTGAGCTCAGCTGGGGTCACAGATAGCAGCTCTGATATTTGCGCTCTGGCAGGGGTTCCCCACCCAGTGCCCCTCCTGTCCTGACCATACAAGGAGTCCTGGAGGGGCTGTTTATGTGAGGGAGGGCATTTGATAACGCAAAGGTCATACTGTCCATGGCTGCTAACGGTCTAGATTGCAGAATATCTTAATGGTTTCATTCCCCATTAAGTAGTGTTTTCAGTAGATTGTCAAGCATTAACATTGTTTAAGTAGATGCTAGTGAAATCATTATTTTATACCATATAATGTAATGTCTTACATGTTGCTTTTCCCAAAAAAAAAAAAAAAAAGTATCAGGTTTCTCAAGGAGCCTAAACATCCTTTTAGGTGCTTTCCACAAGGAGCTTTTAAGCATTGGCAGCTGCTTTTGATGAAACGGATCGACTTCTAAACAGACTAACACTTTGAGGCATTGGTCTCAAATGGATAAAAGCTGTTTGTTTGGGATGAGTCCTATGATGCTTATTAAGACAGGGCTATGATTTTCCATCACACGTGTATGCACTTTCACACAGTGTTAGCAGCAGAAGTGATATGACACCTCTAACTTTAGGCTCTGTCTCCACCGCTCCACCAGATTATCTGGTTAAGATGCAGCGAGAGGAGGCTTCAGCTGCCTGATAACACACTTTAGACTTCACACAGGTTTAGCTTTTTTTTTCTTTTTTTAATTTAGTTATGATAATTAAACACATTTGAAAAAAGCTGTGTCTAAAGTAACCCACTTACCCACTACACCTATACAAAGGCAATTATGGCTATACCAGCTTGTCCTGATCTCATCAGATCTCAGAAGCTAAACAAAGGCCTGGGTAGTACTTGGATGGGAGACCACTGGGAATTCCAGGTGCCACAGTGGGGTGCCAGTGCCAAAAAATGTAGTTGTGTCCTTAAGCAAGGCACTTCACCCACATTGCCTAGTAATAAAGTGGAGTGTGTGTGTGAGTGTTTGTTCTTGATTGGAGGGACCAATGGTGCAGATTGGCAGCCTCGCTTTCATCAGTCTGCCCTGGGGCAGCTGTGGCTACGATAGTAGCTTACCACCACTGAGTGTGTTTTGAATGAATAATGAACTGTAAAGCACTTTTGGTGTCTTGAAAGGTGCTATATAAATACAATTATTAATTGATGAATGAATTAATTAAATGTGGCAAAGTGTCTTGCCCTAGGACGTGACAACAGCCTGCATTGGTTGTAGCACTACCCTGTTGTCATGTCCTAGGGCATGGCAACAGGGTAGTGACTGAATGCTCTGAGTCACTAAAATGGCGCAACAGCAGTATCCTTCCAGATAAGGGATAATTTAAATGCTAATAGTGAGAACATTTGTCTGTTCTTTAAAATTTAGTTTTTGTTTTTTTTCCCCAGAGATCTTTAGCTATAATGAACCTTTCTTTTTTGAAATGGGATTCTTTATACAGGTAGTTCAGGTGTGCAATGAGTATATCCATGTGCAAAGGTCAGAGGTTGCAGGGGCCACCAGCTGATGTCACAGAGTCAAAATAGAAATAGTGTCCTTGGTGACAGCCTAGCAACTGAAATTATGGTGACAACCCCGAGGAATGTGCTGTCATGTGACACCCCTTCCATTCCTCCATGGAAAATCCAAACACACTTCGGGGCTGTGTCAGCGGGGAGAGCCCTTTGGAAACAATGTCAAGCTCGCTCACCCAGGGATTTCGGGGGCAGTACTGCAAAGGGAGAGTTGACTTCCACCATGAACTGAAATGAGCAATACAGCCATGAAAAACCCACTTGTTTAATTAAATGATTGTCATGTTGTTATTTATAATATATAACCAAAGCATGGTATATTATAGTATAGTTTCCATTTCTATGTCTGCTCACATTTCTTACATTTACTTAGGGCAGCAGGCTCTTTGATCCTAGCTCCTATCACTACCTTGGGCTCAGTGTGTGCATACTGTTATGTCCTTGGGCAAGATACTTATCCCTTTTGGCAATGTGTTAAAACATATTTGTAAAGTTTTCCTATTTAATAGGCTATGCTTGTAATGGGTGCTTGCATAATGCTTAGGTTTGTATGTAGGCATTGGCGAGTTCCCTACTGTGTGAGTAAAGTTTAATTCTTTATTATCTGATTTTTATAGTGTATTATGTATAGGTCTGCAGGTGCAAATGAAGACCTAGCCGGTGTGAACCTAGCATAGGTTTTCTGTATAAAAGACAGAAACACACAAGCATATCAAAATAGTAACCAAGTGTTGTTTTTCGTGTGAGGCTGCTAACTGCATGAGTCTTCCACACACGTACATGTTTCCAGCTTTGGGGAGTTGGTAATTAGTGAAAGCAGTAAGGTGATAACAAGCAGCAGCCACACTTTAACAGCAAAGGTGTCAGTGCAGGATATCACAGCCCCTCGCATTACACTTAAAAGACATAAGCTCTGTGCAATATGTAATATACAGGCTTATGAAGGCAGGAAATACATCTTTAATTTACAGTTGACACCATGCTCTGTCACACATTTTTTGAATGAAGTGAGACCTGCAGGAAATTTGCTTAAACATAATGCAATTAAATAAGGAGTGTTGGTAATAAAAATTAGCAATCTGTTTGATGCATGCCAAAAATGGCACGGATTGAATCCAGTCACTGAAGTAAACAAACTCAAGGAAATATGCATTAACCTCTCAAACATACTATTTATACTATTACATACATGTTGTGGGGTTCTGTTCAACATTACATTAATAATATAACTATGTTACTTGTCTCTGCCCATCATTAGTCTGTGTAGTCTGCTAGAGAAAAGCTACCGGAGGATGAAGTTGGCATGCAATTTGAGAACTTAAATTGGCTGTTTAAGGCTACACAAGAATGAACAAAAACAATACATACTGTATAGTGTCGCACTCTAGGCTGAATGTTGCACATTTTGGGATATCAGTCATTCAGCCCTCCTTTGCTCTTATTGTGAGCTGCTTGGGTGACAACAACTGCTCTGGGGCAGATTGGCCCTTGAATCATACATTCATATACAGGGTCATGTTGTAGTGTCTTGCCTGAGGACATAAGAGTATGTTATTGTAGGAAAGAGGTGGGAGCCTGACACTCAGGGAATTGTGTTTTCTTATTTGGGTTGAGCACTTTAATTTTTCTTAACCACATGACTCAAATATGTGATTGCAGTTTGTATACAACTTGTTGCTATAAATCCAGAGAGGCATTCACAAATGTAATAAAAGAGGCAGAACATTTTGTGTGGAGTTTATTGAAAACCAGCTGTTCTGGTAAATACAGAGTCCTCTATTGCAGTGTTGGTTTGAAAGCTGGAGAGCATTACAGTATTTTTGTAAACATTTGAATGTTATGCTTTCTGGGCCTTTCCTCCTAGTTCTATGAGTCACTGCCTTCTTTGAGCAGTGTTCAACTTCTCATCTGGCATTACACTCTACTTTAATGTCCATTCAGTGTATCTCATCAATGTACAATCAAGGCTCATTGAGGCTCTGTTTCTGTTGGATGGTTATGAATGAGCTGCAGTGTGGACATACACTGTAGTGTAGAGTATGTTTCATAAAGCACAGGAGGTGGTCACAGACGTGATTACCATGGCAGCCACAGACTGCCTCTTTAATCACATTCTGTTGCTGGATTGATCACACCATGGTTTGCTCATACTTGGGGACATATGGATTATGACTAATCAATAAAAAAAAAATCACACACAACTTCCAATGCTTTTGATTAAGTGAATCATAGAAAAATACTGTTAGAGCTCCACAGTGAAAGCCTGCTTCATCTTCCTCTCCACCACCAGTCCTCTACCTCTTGATCCTTTACCATCTCCAGTGTCTAGGCTCTGGGAGCACATCTTGTAAGTGCTTATCAGCCCATGCTTGTCCTGGCATTATGTTGTCTGTAATACAGCTCCTCTAATGCTCCTTTGCTTGTATGTGAATTGAATTATAAGTGAATATCATGTCCCTTGATGGACATCTGTGTTTAAATGTCTTTGTCAATAGACAGATCTACTGTACTAATTCCTCCTTTTATGATTTGTTTTGTCTCATTTGTAGGATGTGGGAACAGCAGCATGAGTGGAGACATGTACATGGCAGGATATCATTCCATCACCAACATTGATTACTCGTCTGTGTGCATCAGTGCAATGAGCTGCAGGTATAAGGAGTGTCCCGGTATGACCTGGCAGCAGATGGACATATGCCAGCTCTCTTTCCCTGACGCCTCCTTTGACGTGGTGCTGGAGAAGGCAACGCTGGACGCCCTTATGGTGGAGGAGAAGTCTCCCTGGAGCATATCCCAGTCGACTGCCACCTTCATTCACCAAGCTCTGACTGAGGTACTGTTAATCGCTTAGCTTATTTATTTTATTTATTTGATGAGACAGGGACAATGCACAATTTTTACATTAACCTTAACAGGAGAGATGTACCAGGTTGTAGCATGAGTGCTAATTAGGGATGTCCTTTGATTTTGAGTATTTGCCGATACAGAGTCCCGATCCGATACTTCTATAAAACATTATAAAATGAACTAAGAGCAAAGAATAAGATCCAGGATGTGTGGGGATCAGATTGTATTGATTTCAATGTGTAGTATTTGGGCTGAACTTAGTGTGAAAAATCAACTGTCCAAAACTTTAATTTTATTAACTTTTCTAACCATACACCATCATTGTTGAAAATATTGACTTTTCACAGTATAGTTTTGGAATGTGTAACTTAGTAAACTTAATGAACTGGACAAAACAGGAACCAGACCAGAATTAGATCAGACCTGAGACTAGACTCTGCACAGTCTACAGTTTGTATATTTGATATTATATGGAAGCATGTGCATTACATTTGAAACATTTAGGCTCGTCTATGATATCCAAATAATACAAAATCTTATCAAATAAAAACGAGATGACAGAAACCCCACAGCCTCTCCCCCCGGCGACCCCCACTCCCCCGCACCACCACCACATCCACAAACCCACAGCGCAGCATGAGCCACAACATCGGTGCCACCGCTCAATAGACGTTTCATGCCGCTTTTCCTACCCTCCCCGCTAAAAGCGCCAGCTCCGTTGCACAACATGCAAAAAAACACCGCCTTGTGACGACGCCATCGGCCGCGCAGGTGTGAACACGGGCCACAGAACCACAGGTAACAACGCCCGAGCACGGCACGGCCCAAAAGTCCCAGCACCCAGTCGCGATAAGTGGACGTGCCTGAGCAAATCCCGCGCCTCAGAAAAACTGTTGTGTCCTGTGTGCACAGTTTGTTATATACGTATATTATTTATCCGATACCTGATCGGACCATAACGGCCGAGTTCGGATCGAGTTCACAGTCACGTGATCGGCGCCGATTTCCGATCACGTGATAGGATCGGGACAAACCTAGTGCTAATTTCCACCTGTAGTCCCTGGGCAGATTCATTGCTTGATTGTATTTAACTGACCTTAGCTATCAACTGTTCTTCATGGAGACCTGCAGCATGTTTTGGTTTGTATCTAATAAGGCTATGAAAGAAATGAGTCTATCAGTAATATAATTCTAACATTTTGAACCTTAAACTGCAGGGATATTACAAAGAGGGGAAAGTAATTTCGACTGACAAGGACCTCTAAATATTTAGAATACTTAGAAAATATGTTCTTAAGTGCTGTTAACATATAATAAACTTCATGAAACAAAAGCCAAAATGTTCCAAAACCAAAGCTGTTTTCCACTGCACACAGACTTGTTTCTGCCTCAGACAGAGCTACTCTGTGCTGCGACACTGCTACAAGACTTGATCTGTAAATGAGTGTGACTGCAGTGAAATGGGTAATAGAGGCACTTTACATTTGCACCTCGTCCACAGACCATCAGTTATCCATCACTGAGTGCCCTTCAGCTGCTGACTGCAGCACTAACCACCACTGTGTCAATGTGACAATAACAGTGTTTTGGCCATTAGCCATGCTTGACCTTGACACAGTAAGACAAGAGTTTGTTATGCCTGAGCTCACTCATGATGCACTGAGAGCTGCTTTTGTGAACAGACTGTAGGTGGTAACATTTTGTTCTTTAAACATTAATGATGTAGTGAATGAAGAGAAACGGTGCATTAGTCATTTATTCTAATGGAGCAGTGTGTGAGAGGCCGTGTTTGTAGTAAGTTGTGTTCTGGCCTTTAACTTGACAGTCAGTTATTTGTCATTGTAAGGTTGTGGTGGTTTTGATTGAGTAATGGATATGTGTGTTTGAGCAGAGAGCTGTATTAAACTAAAAAAAAACTTGGATGATAATATATTGATCTCTGCAGAATTGGCAGATTGCCATTTGGACTCTATGTTTTTATAAAATAAAAATTATATAACTTTCCATTTTCTACTACTAACTACTGTCACAGTGTTAAGAGACATGATGCATCCTAAAATTATAATCAGACAGATGGTATTTCTTTTCTAATCTGCCACGATAAGGAGAGCTTTAATGCCAGCAGCTTAAGTTTGACTGTGGAAGTAAACAAAGGCATTACACAGACAGTGAGTCAGGGATGGAGGCTGACAGACAGTGGCTCACATGCACACGTCCCAGTGAATGGATGGATGGTCCCGGTGTTTTCCTCTGACAGGAGGAAGTATTAAAGAAGGATCAGAGAGTGTGTTTGGGGTGCAGATGGGAGGATTTGAATCTCTTCAAAAGAACTAAGGCTGATCTCACGATACAGGCTTTGCAGATGGACATTGCAGTCAGTAGTTATTATTACCTTAAACTTAATTTCATGTCCCTGTCTCCCTTCTAAAGTGTTTATTATGTTTTGTCTACTTTCTCATAAAAAGAATTCTACCAAAATAAAATCTATATATTTTCTCTTCTATCTATCTGTCTATCTATCTATCTATAGATATAGATATAGATATATATTTTTATACATTATATAATTATATATAATTTTATTAAAAATTGCAACCAAGGTATGTATGTATTGGGACATGTAGTAACACTTAAATTCACAGTCCACAAGTCATGCTCATTTTGTAAAATGCCCTTGCCCTCTATCCCCACCCACTGGGATTAAATCAGAAGAACACAGAAGATTATCCAAAAGAGCAAAGTTATTCTCTTGAACGAGTCCTGCTCAGGTGGCTGCTGGGAGCTCTGTTGATGTTGTCCTGTTGAAGCACTCAGTCAACATCAATTAAAGGAAACCTACTCAGAATACTTTATCTGATTTCTCCAGAGAACCAATTAGAGAGAATTTTTTTCCCAGTCTAGAAGCAAACCAAGAAGCTGAAAAATCATTTGTTCAGAGACATCTAGTAATTACCATTAGAACTAAAAGTATTGTATTGCCTATTTATTTTATTTTTTTCTTGACCCATGCAGTTGAGTGCCTTTCCTGGCATAGTTGGTGCATATGGTTTACACACAGTAGTGCTCTAAGTGCACTCTTACCTGGAGTTTATACCAGGAGCTTCAGCTTCCTACATGTAGCGTAGGCGTATACTTCAAAGCGTCAATTTACACCAGAGGGAACAGCTGGTCCTGCAACGCTGGCCTTTATATATTCTCACATTTAAACACCAAACTATTTTGTATTGCTTACATATTCATTGTTGAGTGAAATAATTTGTTTAAAAGTATACAATATAAGTTTACAAAAGGCACGGTGCTTTGCATGGCAATAACAAGCCAGGGATGTGGTGCTCACATTAATTAGTTATATACCATTTAAGTTTCAGTGTCTTATGTGCCATGCGCCTTTCCCTTCATATGTTGTCCTTGGAAAAAGTATGGTTGACATTCTGAAGTGTATTATATTTACCTCCACAACTATAAACCTCATAGTCCAGTGTTTTTAGAGAACTTATTTTGAAAGGGTGTCAAAAGTTTATTTTGACACCAGGTGCTGTTTTCCTGTCTTTCCCCAGCTAAAAAAATCTAGACATGCTCCCTGGATGCTGTGAAATTAGAACTCAAACCTAATTTGAGCAACACGTAGCATAATTACACCCACTGGACGCTTGTGTGTCATTGTTGGTGTAGATTGTCTGACTAGTTAAAATGAAAAGCGATTCCTGCACATATGCTGCACTTAGGTTAGGTTAGGTCCCCAATTGTGCTGCTGTGATTATAAAAGTCGAAACATGACCTCCTGCATGCATTTAGAAATCTTGTTTGGATTTGAGAAATTAGTTTTTTCTAACATGCATGTAGATGGCATGAGCCTTAATGTATGAGCCATAAAGGTCATAGCACTGTGGTAATTTTCATCTTCCACTTCACTTCTTAACTCTCTCAGTGATTTTAGAAATAAAAAATGACCTGTCGTAATGTACCCAACCTTAGCAGCAGCACCACAGTGAAAATGAAAAGTTTGGACATTTGCCATCAGGAGGTCCTGACACTGTGAATGCCTCAGAAAATCAGACAGAAAGGGAAAAAGCTCTACACACCAAGACCAATACGGAGTCCCACTGCTGCGCTTCCCCAATGCTGTATGAATGTTTGTGAGGCAGTTATATTTTTTCTCTCTCTCTCTCTCTCTCTCTGTGTGTTGGCGGTCACGATTCCAGTAAGTTTATTTCCCTGTAGCTAAGCAGATGAACTCACTTCCCGCTTTCATCATACAAAACTGAAATAGAGCAAGCAGGTGTACATAAGTCAGTGGAGGTAAATGAGCAGTTATTGGGAACCTGTTTGTTTTATCTACAAATACCAAAAACTGCTGCAAAATGTTGACAAAACATTAATAAGTGTGGATCTGCGTAAGTGCAAAACAAAGGAGTGAAGACAAGAACAGGAACTGACAGAAAGCTAATGAGCAGTGTGCCAGTGTGAGAACGAAAAGAAGTGAGCTAGCAATGTAGAGCGCAATGGGAGGGAGGTAAGCTGAGCACACTACTGTAATCTAAAATCTAAAAAATCGCAATTAACTGTAACTTCCACATTAAACATAAAGTGGTCATACTGAACTCACAAGTGCGCCTTTCTACCTGCCTGATCATTCCTAAAGATTTACTGGAAATGGTGTACAATGGGTGTGATAACAACAGATCCTGGTTGTGTGTCAGTGGTAGACACAAACACACACACACACACTAATAAAAGCTCACCGTAGACACCACAATGCACTGAGCTGTGAAATGTATTTCTCAGGCTGACACACTCTATGAATCACTCTTACTGTTGCCATAGAGACGCTTTGGTTGAATATCTTCTTCTCAAAGTAACACTTTTTAATTGCTAACCTTTAGTTTTGTTTAAAGAGGTATGGACTTGTTTGATGCTTGTTTCAGGGACAAAATAATTTAGAAATATATCAGTTTTAGTTTCTAACTGTTTTGGCTGTGGAATGAG